GCTCCGCTCTCGGCGGGTAAGAAAGCGGCAGCGTTGGCTCCGGGGAAGCCCCGGGAAGAGGGGGTTCTTCTCACGACAAACCTGCAAATACACCCAGTGTTTTCACCCATTCTGACCGTTGTTTACGGATTATCAAGTTTAATCCTGCTGGCTTATGATGACGCTTTGGGGACGGCTGGAAATAAATCCTCAACAATCACTTATTTCTAATGTCGTTTTTCCTAGCGTTCCTGTTTTCCAGAGCAGTTGCTGTTGCTGCCCTGGCCCTGCTGCTGCTCCTGCTGCAGCAGCAGTGCAAAGCCCAGCAGGAAGCACCATAAATCTCTTCCCCAGCTCATGCTGCAAAGTTCCTTTCTGGTCACACTAAATAATTAGCATGTAACATTACAGCATGTCCCAGAGGTGCCCTTAGAGCTGCTGTCTAGGACAAAGGAATTAACCCCAATGTTAAGGGGTTGCCAAGCAGAACTGAAGTACCTCCAGAGCTGGGCTACAGGACTTTCTGATGCAATGTGCTGAGGATAAACAAGAAAATATTTGTATCAACAAATTTAATGCCCTGAAATAACTATCACTAGAGATAACAAAGAACAACAGCAGCTGCAAAGCTTACTTTATGCTCTTCCTATTCTCTACTCAACCCATAAAGAGTTATGAGAACGGGACTGTCCTTCTTGGGCCACACGCACAGAGACTGCTCATGCCATGTGGCCAGGCAAAGCCTCAATTGCAGATCCAGGGCTTGCAGGAGGGGCAGCACACTGCCTTTTTTGAATGTGCCTGGAGCATCGGGGGGAACAGCCCCCTCCGGTTGGCAGCGTCGGTGCACCTGGGCTTGGGCTGAGCCCCCAGGCGTGAGGGAAGCCTGCTCCGGCCAGGCCTGGGGTCGGCACTTCACACCGCGGGGCAGCGGGCTGGGCACGTTGCTCAGCCACAGGACAGCGTAGGTGCTCCAAGGGCAGCAGTAGCAGGGCCTTTGACTCCTCGCAGGGTTTCACGGAGCCACCACTGCTCCCAGGAAGGACAGCACTGGTTTTGCTGATGTTCTCAGGAGATTCATTCCGATAAATGAATTGGCCCTAATAACACCCACGTACGTCTCCCCTCACCTCCTCTGCATTTCAAGCGCAGTAATGTTGTCGTCTACCACAACACAGAGACCATTTTGTACAGTTAATATTGATCTCCCCATACCTCAACGGCCAATACATCGATGAGAGGGCAGATGCTGGATGCAGCTGCTGAGACAAGCTGCCCACAGCAGGACCGGGCAGCTCCAGCGCTGAACTGCCCGCTTCCTGACATCCGCAGCACCCCACGCCATATCAGCACCATTCCTCCCCCAGGCCACCGGCTCCTGCTTGCCAGCAGCCAGGGCCCAGGAGCTGGTGGGACCTGGGGGTGCCCAGGCCCCCAAGGTCTGTGCTGCTGCAGAATGAGCTCTGCACACACCACAAGGACACAGCCACCCTCCAGGAGGGCACACTCCACCCTCACCATCCCTGAGCCATCAGCCTAACTAAATACAGAAAAGACCCTAAAAAGGGAGAGCAGCAACCCCTAGACAAGATAGACAGAGAACTGCTCCCATCCACTCCTCCACTGAACAGGAAGGCAAGGCCCAGGAACTCCACTTTACAGACTGGCAGCAGCCACCTGCATGGTCCTCAGGGTGATGACCAACATCTGTGTGGTCCTCAGACCTCCCCATGGCTGACACCTGTGTGGTCCTCAGGGTGATGACCAACACCTGCATGGTCCTCAGGGTGATGACCAACACCTGTGTAGTCCTCAGGTTTTCCCCCCCCCTCATGGCTGACACCTGTGTGGTTCTCAGGGTGATGATCGACCCCTGCGTGGTCCTCTGCCACAGCAGAGCTTCTCAGCAACCCTGGCCTCAGCATGGGTCCCTCTGGTGCAAGCTGCCTGCAGCCCCATGGCTGGCAACAGCCCCAAATCCTGGGTGCCAAAGTAGCCAGGGAATCCCTGGTGACCTTACCTCAGAGCGAGGTCGAGGTCCAGGTGTTCGTATCTGTAGAGAAGGGCTTGAACATGAGTACAGGGGTGGGAGAGAAACGCCTTGTTCAAGTTATTTAACATAAAAACCAAAGCCACTTCATCTCTGTGAGTCCACCTCAACTTGCAGTCATCCCGGCTTACGGGTAGGGGGTAGGGCAGAGGAGGAAGCTTCTCCCTCGCGCATGTTTAAGTCTTAAATGCCTCTCCAGGCACTAAAGGCATTGGTGAATTCTCCAATTAACCAAGGGCAGAAGAGGCACAAAACTTTCTCAGGCTTCTCCCCGTGTTCCTGATACAATCTTGTTTCCTAGACTTGAAGAAAATCTAACACTGGATTGCCATCAATAGTCTTTTCAAACACTGTCACTGTGGCAGACCTAAATGGTAGAAATGAAGCATCCACATTCTGAAATAAGAGTGGTGTTTTCTCATCTCCTTCCTGGTCTTGCAGTAGCCGAGCTGTGGTGCGAAGCCAGGTATTGCAGTGATCTGCTGTTGACTGACCCAGAGCAACTCGTGGCCACCTCCTTGCCCAGGTTTTCCAGCAAAGGGGAACTAAGCTGAGCACAAGCAGGAGACTTCTACGTTCAGCAAGGCAGCAAGGTTTTCAGTGTGGCTGGCACAGCAGAGGCGTGCTGGGACAGACCCAGTGGCCTACCACCTGCAAGATCATTTTGAATCTGAATAAACCAGCTCAGTGCAGCCCAGCGTCTCCACCTCCGGGGCCTGGCCAGGCCAGCCAGAAGATTTATGTAGGTTACAGAACATACACATATAAAACATATTTACTAGAATTAGATACTCACTCACTGTATTCCCAGCTGGCCTAAAAGAACATTACTTTCATAAATGAGAAATTCCATGAAGCTGCTAATGGCTCAGTATCACAGCCTTCTGCAATTGTTGCAGAAATCTCATGAAAACCAAATTACTGAAAAACAAAACCTCCTTTGTGTAAGTAGCACACTGCTGTCATACTGGCTCTGGTAACAAGGCCATTAATGAGGTTAAGGTAGTTACTCTAACAGATGGAACATGTGTGGGGCTGGCTGTAAAAATCATATTTATCTTTCTTGAATTAAGGGCAAAAGGTTGATTTTGGACGAGTGTGTGAGTGTGTGTATGTACACCTAAGTGAGGGGTTTTTTGCTCTGAACCCTTTGTTCGTGACAATCAGCTAACACGCGGAAAGCGGCCTACAGCACACGCTGCCAGAGTTTGGGACGAGGCACTGTTTGCTCCATCCGTTGGCCAGATTCACAGTCCCGGGGCCGATGCAGGGCCCAGCTGGGCAAGGGGGAACCAGCTGGGGGCAGGAACTGGCAGCGCTTACTTTGTGCTGCTTGCATTAGATGCTCCGCAAGCCACAGCACTGTTCAGGAGCGGAGAGGTTCACAGCCACCTTAGAAGTCCTCAGAGGAACTATTCAGTATGTCAGACTGCTCCTTGGCCT